AAGCAGCCCCAGGCCCGAAGAGCACTCGTCACGCCGTTCAGGCAGCCCATCCACAGGTCCCTGTGTGCCCTGAGCAGGGTCTGGATCTAACCCTTTGCTGCCTTGAGCATCATCCCCCCGTGGTGGGGTTAAACTCCCTTTGCTGGTCCCTGATGCTCAGCCATGCTCTGTATTTTGAGCAAAAGGGTTGAGAGATACTCGGGCCCAAGGGCATCACGCTGTTCCCAGGCCTATTTTGTTTACATTTGATTCAATCAAGTTGTGGCCTTTTGGCCTCTTTCCAAATTAACTTCTGGGTGACCTCCACCATGCCCTGTCCCAGCAGCCAGGCCACAGGAAAACAGCCCATTAAACCTACAAACAAATATAGGACGTATCGGTTGATCAAATCAGGTTCAAACATGCCTACTGAAATGCCAGGGCACGCTTTTTTGCAAACTTCAGGTCTATTTTGTCTTGGGTCATTTGCACCTCTGGGCCTCCTTTTTTTTTTTTTTTCCTTCCAGCTAGGGCTCCATGTTTTACTGACTCATAAAACTTCTAAATTTTGTTCTCATCCTCCCGTAAACCCCACGAAGAGCAACGTGAGGCTCTTTCACACAGGGCTCGCTGCAGGACCTGGGTCTTTACACTGAGCATGTGAAGAAAGGCGGCGAGATCCTGCTTGGGGGAACAGCTGTAATACTCCAAGAAATTGTGTGTTCCCCTTATTTCCAGGGAAATAAATCAAAGCGGGTTTCTCATGGTCTGTGAAAGCATATTGCCTGGATTTCAATCCCCAAAGGGTTTATTTTTTTAAGAGCTTATATGGTAGTTAGATTTCTGGCTAGAGAATATGCAATATGATAAAAACACAGTCCCGATACAGGGCAATAAATTACAGATTGTTTGATGTGGAAACCAAAGAACTGTCAAACTCGAGTATATCTGAAATATTCTAAATGAGCCCTTAACTTGAGTGTCTGGAAATGTACAATATGTTTCCAGGCCCTTCAAACTTGTAAAGACACATCTCCTCCAGTTAAGTTTCCTTTTATGTATTATTCATTTTTGGTGGCATTTCTCCCCCCTTTTCTCAAAATTGCGCTCCTCATCCTAGAGATCGTCCTATGATAAACATCAAGATTTATCTAAGCATAAAAAGGGATCAGAACCGAGCACAAGCTTAAACACGTAAGTGCAGTAAGGATGGGGTAAAGCATCTGTTGCAATTACTGCAGAGCATGTAAATCAGCTCGGGACATAGAGGGACAGGAGGGAGGACAAAGAGTGTCACATTGGCCAATTCAGCACCCACAGTCTTCATCCCTGCTGCATCCTCACACCAGCATCACTCAGGTCCACTCTCCAGAGCCTTTCTTGGAGGAGGAGGATCAGTAGGAGGTCACCACCTTGGCAGAGCACTCAGGATGTGGGACACGGGACACCACAGCTCCCACTTGCATGTACATCTATTAAAACCTGAAGCTTGTCCCCACCTGTCAGCCAGCCAAACATCCCCGTGGTCAGAGGAAAATTGAGTGACCAGACAAAATAGTTCACCTTGCACACTGCTTTTTGCCTAGGGATGCTACCAAGTCTCAAAAAAACCTGAGCAAGACCTTGTACTGACACTGAATAACCTTTCGGTTTCAATATAGTTTCATGTCTGGGACGAGTGAATACCCTTCTAGTTATGAACAGACCCCATCCACTCTGGGAAATAAAAGTTAGGAACCAATTCCAACTCGTTTTCCTGAAGATGACCCTTGGCCTCCCAGCTGAGATAACAATGCTAATATTTATGGATGGTCTGTTCATGCCTCTGGGCGCACAGCAAAAATAACGCAAATCAAAACTTGGTAGACATCTAACAGGACTGAAAAAATAATATATCCTTACTTCCAATACGGCAATAATAAACTGTCTTGCCCACCAATACACGAAAATAGCACCACTCACAATCACACGTTCGGGTGAAACAAAAATGATCTGGAGTCTTGATGTGGTAAGTAGGCACCACCAAGGAGGACTCATCCAGAAAGAACTGACATGAGACAGCATACTACTCAGGTAGCCATGCTTTATTCACTTATTTATTTTATCTTGATAAAAGGTGCTTGAACCAAACTAATACAACCTGGCAAACTTTTACTTCCCCTTCTCTCCGGGTTAGGTTTTCTATACTCCTTTCAATCCCTGTGGATTTTGTTCTAATGTACAAACATCATTCTCATTTCAAACAGCAGAAGTTCAATGAGAATTTCTCATATAGACGTGCACACCAACCCAGATTCAGTTTGAGAAGATGTGAACTAATCAGCAACCATGATTTCCACACACAACACGTTCACCAAAACTTAAGCAAGCTCAAAAATGTGGGGTACTGCTGAAAAAACACACATTTTTCAGCAGCGTGTGCAGCCTGGAATAAACTGAAGCCAAGTCATCAGCAAATTACAGACATTAGTAGAAACCTACAAGTAAAAGTAAAAGCTCTGGAAGTCTACAAAAATTGCACCAACTAGCATGGTTCCTGAGTCTACCCACATCGACAAAATCCAAGATGCACCTTTTACACAACACACTGGGAGGAAGTCACCATGTGGTACTAGATTCACAATGTACTGGTAGTCACATGGGGAATCCAGTTTACAGCTCCAGGCACTACAAACCTTGAAAAGATGCTCTTCCCTCCAAAAGATTCTGGATGTTTGAAAACCCTTAAAAGCCACTGTTGGCTTGAGCTTGGTGGACAAGGAGATTTTCACCCCTCTCCAGCCCAGGAGTCCCCGCTGCTTCACAGATCTGAAGATACCACCTGAAAAACACAACTGTAATTCATCCAGAGCTGCTGCTCCTTCCATATGTCCTACACTTCAGCATTCAAGATGCATTCCAGATGTGAAGGAGAGTGCAAAACTTCGGTAGGCCAAGAAAATAAGTGTGACAGTGAGCTCTGACACCCTAAATCCCAAATTTAAGTAATTTCTGCAGTTACCTTCCCTGTATATAAGCCACTTACTGTAGACCTTCCACAGAAATAGCTCGGTTCTTAACTAATTTTCACAAATCACTTTCCATTTTGTCCTGATTTTATTGTCAATTCCCCCTCCTTCTCAAACATAACTTTACAAGAGGGTTCCATATATTTCAGACTTACATTTACACCATTCAAACCAAAACAACTCACCTGCCTCCAATAACATGTTCCAATCCAATACTTCAAGCCAAGGAGGGGAAGCACTGTAAGAGGTTATGACTGAACTGACCATATTCACCCCCTTACCACTATTTTTCTCTAAGCAACAGCTGACAAAGACACTCTGCTGCTGCATACAGCTGGGTTCAGCCCGGCAATGTTTACCCAGGGTCTCTTGTTTCACAGATCTTCACTCCTCAGCAGCCTGAACTGTTCAGCAAAGACCTAACTTGACCCAATCTGGCAGCCAGCATTTCACAACCACTTTATGTCAGCAGTTTCAAGTACACTAACAACCATGTTTTGTTCAGTGTGACTTTCTCACTGTGAACAGCAAAATATCGTTATCACCTGCAGGTTGAAGCCTGCCCTCTAGCCCATTTAGTAGGGAGCTGATTACACTATTCTCCCCCGTTTTAATAATTATGGGCTGTTGGCAGATGGCACAGCTCGGCGCAGGGAGGCATGCAGGAAGGCAGAATGGGCTGCGCTGCTGCTGCCCACCTCGGCTCCTGCATGGCAGGGCGCTCCCAGGGACCCCCAATACCTCGCTGCATCCCACTCCCAGACAACACCTAATGAGGCGTGCCTGTGTCGGAGGGCATGGGGGTTAAACCAAGAACTGCTATGAAAACAGTCCCTGGCAGTCTTGGGAGCAGGAAAGCAGAGGTTAGCAGAAAAGTCACTAAGCCAGCAACTCCAGACAGAGTAACCCTTGCAGCCCACCGGTCCGGGAAGCAAAGCTGGGCTTAATTCCAAGAAGCCACCACTGCCCAAACCCCTGTGCTGGAGCAACCCTGAGCAAGGTATCCACTGGTAAGAGCTCGAGAGAGACTGGGCAGCTCAGCTGTATTAACAGAGAGCATTACCACCCGAGTACTTGCCCTGTGAGGTCCCAATGCTCTGTCCCTGGAAAGCAGAGAGGTCCAAGCTATCAGCCTACTGAAAAACATACCTTCTATGAGTTACTCAATGACACAGAGAGGAGAGCAGAGTCCAGAGCCAGACCCCAGCCTGGCTGGCCAAAGGCAATGATGCAGAAGAGCTCTGGGAGGTTAACAATCGCAAGCTGAATGCTGCACAGAGGTGCCACCTAATCCCTTGGCAGTGGTGGGGCTTGTTCATAGACCTAACCTGGCCTGACATGGCGGGTAGAGACAAGATAATGCTTGTCCCAGCAAGGATGCCAGGTCTGAGACCATGGGAAGAAAGCTCCCTACCCAGTGGAAAGGGTCTCATCCAGCTCTGTCATTTCCCCATTCAACAGTAACTTGCCTCAGTAGTGACTGGGAGTTGATGTCCAGAGAGATACAGCAAAGAAACAGGTGACCCTCCCTGCCAGCCACAAGCAATGCCAAAGTGCACTCCTCTGACCAGAGGGGACATGAGGCACATGCCACATAAACCCCTGCCAGCACCTCGTGCTCAGGGGCACCACAGCAGTTCCATCCTTCTTGGTCTTCCACTGTGCAGGGGATGGTATGTACAGCTGAAGCACACTATAGGGATGCATCCACGCATCGCCCGGGTGCAGGCTGAGCCCTGGAGGGTTGCATTGTATGTGCCCTGCGGCTCCCACTGCACCCAGAGAGCACCACACCAAGGTGCATGAATCAGGACCTGCCACACGTGCCCTGTGAGCCTGGTACCGTGCAGAGCTGAGGTGGCACTGTCTTGCACACAGCTGCTGAAGATGGAGATGCCTGGCTATCTGGCTTTCAGGTTGTCTGGCTGAGCCTGAAAAAAGTGTGGGGGAGGCTAAACTGATTTGGAAACCGCCCACTCTGGAGCTGTCCCTGCTGGCACGCCTGCAACAAACCTGGTTGATATGTTTCAGCTTGTCAATAATCTGGCTGATCACTGGCTCAGGACCTTTCATCTTCACCTCATGGTTGCCAGGCTGACCTTTTGCTCCATTCCTTGTGATTTGGGGACTGTACCTGTGGGAGTGAGAACAGAAGAGACCACAATGTGATGGGCTAATATAGAGGAGATCTTTAAAGTTCAGTACAAACAAAAGAAAACCCAAGATAAGCACCAGCCCCTTCCAAAACAGAGAGCACAAGACAGTTAATAATGACAAAGAGAAGGCAGAAGATTCCCATAAACATTTCTGCTCTGCCTTTGCAAAGGAGCAAGATGATGTACTTGTATCACTTGAGGACAATGAAGTCCTTTCCAGTCCATTAGTAACCAAGGAAGACGTTAAACAGTATACAACAGGGATAAATATTTTCACATAACTTGCACCCAAGAGTCCTAAAAAAGCTGGCTCAGAAATCCTGGCTTGCTCATGTTTGTTTAAAATAAATCTTGGCAGACCACAGAGACTCCAGTACAAGAGCAGTAGTGTTGTGCCCACAGCCAAAAAAAATGAGTGGGATGACCCAGTTAACTGCTAGCTGATTAGCATAACATAAACCTTCTTGCAAAATAATGACTATCACTGAGGTGTGATTTCAATAATAAAGAATTAAAGCATCAGAATATAATTAATGCTGTCAACATTGCTAATGGAAAATAGGTGTTGTCAAACAATCCTGATTTCAGTCTTTGATGAGATCCAGCCTTGGGGATCAAGGTAACTGCTTAGACAGAATGTACCTTGACTTTGGTACAGTGCTGGGCTCTGCACAACGCAGTATCTTGATTTACATGGGTACCGTGTAAGTCAGTAAAGCAGATTAAGATCTGGCGGAGAGCTCTCCAGATGCAGCTCTCCACAGGCACCCTCTCTGAGCTGCCAGGGCAGCTCATCAGAGAAGGGTGGCCAAGCCCGTGCTCAGCTTTTTCCTTGTGATTAGGAAAGAAATATAAATTGACTGCTGCAAAATTTACGGAATGGCGAAGTTCATCAGAGCGATAAAAGTGAAGAGAAGAGGGACAGTGGGATCACTGCATCCTTGCCTTTGGAGGAACGTGTTTCTACACTCAGTACCTGAGTAACAGCTCACGATGCTCAGGACATGAGACAAGCACGTCCGCACCAACCTCAAACTCAGCTTCAGAATCAGAGCAAGCAGCTGCCGCCACTGACTGCTGGCAGCAACAGCAGTGGCACAGAGCACACTGGGGTTTTCTTGAGCTGTGGGTTGTTGATATTGATCACAGCCCCAGTGATGGGCTCCGGTAGTCTACAAGCACAAAACAAGTCCTCGTCTCCAAGAGCTGACAGCCTGAGCACACGCTGCCAAATCCCGGCACAGCCTACGAAAGTGAGATTGCCAAGATAAAGCATCGGTCTGCTTTACTGTACGTCTGTTTTTCCGGTGCCATGGGTAAACACAATGAATATTCCTTTCTGCAATTCATCTCCTATACATCATGTCCTTACCCTACTCCCAGCACCAGCCCCAGTGATTGCCTCCCTGTCTGACAGCTCCCCGCTCCCCTTCCCACTAATCCTTCATCCCCACGCTGCTGAGAGAGCTCGGGAGATGACAGTCAGCCCATTTCACAGAGGCTCTGAGAAGGAAGTGAGACTTCAGCAGGGATTCAAAGGAGGGGAGGGAGATGGGAGGGATGGTGGGATCAGCTCAGGAAGGATGCCTTGCTGGGGGAGAATGCAAGAGGCATGGGGACATTCAGCCACAACAGCTGTCGGGGCACACTGAGGGTTTCAGGGATACACAAGGTGTTGGCCCCACTTAAACTCTAAATTAAGAATGAGACCGACTGAGACATGTGGGGATGCAAAGGCAACCTCAGATTTATACTGGTGCAGCAGGCATCTGCCCCTGACCTGAAATATTCACATAATTTAAAATACAGGACTGAGGCCGATTTCCACTCCAGGGATTTTTTGGAGCAGGAGTTATATGTACAGGAGCACCCTGCATCTCCAGCTGGGTCCCCAGAGCTGGGCACTCCCCATACATAGCTCAACTGTGGGCTGACGACCCCATGAGATGCTTCACTGAAAGAGACGACAAAAAAGGATGGGAGAAAGAAAGTGCCTGTGCCTCTAACAGAGAAGCATACGACTGCGTGTATTCCTGTTTCCAGACATAAACAGCTTGTCCAGGTGCAGGAGAAGCATCACTGCAAAGCAGAGACATCAGCTTGGGTCTTCCAAGCCCCACCAGCTCTTCAACATTGGGGCAGCTGCCTGCGCAGTCAACCCACCATGCAGTGCTTCAGCTGCAGCACGGTGCTGCTCAGGGGTACCGTACCAACTCCAACAGCTCTGTTCTCCACCCAGACACCTTTCCCCATGCTGGGGCCTCCTGTTAGGACTCAACATTTTGCAAAACACACAATTTTTTTTTTTTTTTTTAATAGTTGCATTATCCTGGGAAGTACAAAACAGAGCTATACCTGAGACGCAATAGCTCCCAGTTCAGAAAAGCACCTACACATGCAATTGGAAGCTTATTGTAGGCTGAAAGCTAAGTGACTGGGATAAGCTGGGCCAGAGAGCACCAGGCTGGGTCCCAGCCTGCAGCAGCCCACGCCCAGGAGGTCTGGTTTCCTGGCACAGAAGGCCAGCGGGACCGCATGCTCCGAGCACCATCTCGTGGGAAGATGCTGCTGCTGCAAGCACAAACCTGCCGGGCTCTGCAAATACTTGGGGTTAACTTTTTGCAGGGGAATAAGGCATTGGGAGCAGCAAACCATTAAACCTGCTGCTCATTTTTCACACAGTCACTTAATGCCACCGTGCCAACCTGACAAACATCTGGCGACGGAACATAAACATCCAGAAGACACAGGACACTTCAGTTGCCAAATAAATTACCATTTTTGGTGTCACTGTAAATTTAATTTAAAACACTGATGGAACTTTAAAGTACATTGCTGAAAAGTCTCCTGTGGTTTCAGAGATTTAACTAGCAGGATAAATCTCCCACAGGTTTTAGCAAGAGCAGAACCAAGCCCATTTGGTGCATACCTAAATTATTACAATCTCTCTTCTAAACAGTTTTATACAAAGCAACTCAACAGCTTGCGTTTGAGTGGGCGAAACTCCTTCTGAAATTCACACAACTGCCAGAGAGGATTTCTGTAGCCTACGCAATGTCGTACAGGACTGAGGAACACAGTACTAAAGTGGCAGTACACCGTAACTACGCGTCCAAAGACGGAAACTGCTCTCCAGAAGGCTCCGCTGTGGTGGTGAGGACCTCAAATCACCCTACCCCGGGAAGTCTACCAGAGAAGGAAGCAAACCTGAAAGCATTGGCAGAGGGATCTCTCCCTAAAACAGTGATGCTGGAGAAGCAGAGTGCCACCACCTGTTGCTTCCCACCTGGCCAGGTACAAGGGTACATACTAGGTCCAAAATGAACCATTTGCATCATTACACAAGTCATCTGAAGCAGCAAGGCAATGGGCACTGCAAGCTGCACATCTTTGAGCATGAACTGGAAAGAAGCAGATGCATGGGGACATGCTACATCTGAATATCCAGAGATGGGCTCCTGCATGGCCTGGGCACTTCAGGACACGCTGCCTCTGCGCTGAGACCTCCTGGTGCGCTCAGGTACGAAAGGGATGCCAACTCACCCTTGGCTGTGCCCCTCTCTGCCTGAGCACCAGGGCTGGGGTGGCACACATTCACGCATGAAGGACGCAGCCAACTGAAGGGTTAAAGCCTTTGACATGTAGCTTCAGTGAGAGACAGGCATTCAAAAGCTGGAAAAGGCACCTGGCACCCCTCCCTGCAGCCTGGGCCAAGCAGCCAGGCCTTAATATGGCAGAGAGATGCCTTTGCAGCCCTCACTGAGTTGGAGGCTGGAGGACTCCCATGACAGTCCCTATTCAGGCTCCCCTGTGTCCCACCAAGTTGCTGCATGGCTGGTCGGCCTGCAGGTCCCATTGCAAAGCAAAGCCAAAGTGTCACCTTCCTCCCATGCTCTCCAGCCACAGTGCAGAAAAGGAGAAATCTCAGAGCCATCTCAAGCTGCTTTCAACATACGCCAATAAAACAGCCCCTTCTGCAGGACACGTGCGCCAGTCCATGAAACCCATCACATACCTCTGCCATGGTGACACCGGCATTCAACAGCAAATATGCACAGTGGCTAAAGTCCACCTCATGGTCTCAGCGGGTCCCTGCGCCAAAGGGATATTACTGTTGCAACATGAGCATGGTCTGGCTTCCACTTCATAAGCAAAGCCCAAAATACTTTCCTCTTTGATGTGTCTTGACGTCAGTCAGCAGCATCTCCTTGCCTGGGCTCCCCGGGTACAGGTTCGTGCTGGGGACGTGGTATTTTCCAAAGACAAATGTCATGTTGTATAAAATGTGCTGATAAGCAGCCCTCGCTAAAAACAACTTTAAAGACAACGACCTGACGAAAATATTAATGATCTGAGGTCTTCTGTGAGGATAGCACAACTACAGACCCTTCCTGTTCCTTCTCAGCCACCAGCCATAAATGCCAAAGTATGCAGTCAAATTGAGGAATTTTCCTCTCCTTTCCTCCCCACCATCCACAAATGTCTCCTGTGAACATTTGGTCATTCTACTCCAAATGCAGCTCTTTCCAGGCTTTCATTTCAGAGCAAGGAATACAAGATGACAAATGCAATTTAAATATATGGCAATGAATGTAAAATGTGAGTTCATCCTACTTGGCCATGCTAGGCTTAGAGATGAGTTACTGCAATGCCTGACGTGTGATTTAGAGAAAGTAATTCTCTAAGTCAAACAAAGAAATACACCTTTTAGAAAGAGGAAAGTAAGTTTGTCATTCAAATAACAACTAATTTATGCCTGCCTTCCAGTTGCTAAGTATTTATACAAATGCAGCTCCATAATTTAAACAGCGCGGTATCCCTGCCAGATTTCCAAATACCAACGCCTTGCAGCCTGGTCTCACTACCATGAGAGCCCTCCGAGATCCTGTTGTATCAGCTCCCTGCCAAAGGAAAGTGCTGCCTCTTTCCAACCACCCTACGCAATGCAGTACAGCCAGTAAGTGTGCTGCAGGTGTTA